TATATACTGAGGGAACGACCTCCAAATAGACACTGCATTGCTTGTTAGGCATGCGTTCGCGCCGCACTGTGGGCAGTTCTGCGGCCCATGAGAGGAGCTCCTCAGGGTGCCCTGCGCAGCGTGGGAGTCAAGAATGGTGGATGGTGTAATGGACAGAATCCTAGACACGCCCTGTCTTCGACTGACAGGCATAAGCCGACCCTGGGGTTCTTTCTTTCATGGGATCATTGCAGGTCTGTATACAGACATGGAGTCCATGAAGCATCCCAGATCTCCAAGGGACCGTCGTATATGCCGATGACTTGGGGTGGTTTTGGGGGTCTATGTAGGCGTCTACGGAAAGCATGGTGGTAGGCACTGGAACATTTTACGTCGACTGTTGCTTCATGGATGCCTCCAATTCGGGGATTTACCTTTCTCTCGTAGTAGTGCGAATCTTGCTGTCCGCTGGTCTCCGGTTCCATTCCCACATTTAGCACCCCCGAATACATGCATAGCTACCTACATCCTGGCTAAATATTTATTTGGGCATCGAAGCACGCGAAGCGAGGAAACACGGGAGATGTGTCACCTGGCAAAACCTTTGACACATCTCTATTCTTCCGAAGCTCGGTCTCCATGACAATGCGCTCCTGGCGTGTGAAGATACGCCGGAAACGGCGCATCCGCACAGCGGCGTGTTCTGCGAACGCCGCGTACGGCGCCGTGCGCCGACACGGCGGGCGTTCGCGGCGCTGCGTGGGCAGTTCTGGTGCCGATGAGAGGAATTCATCAGGGTGCCCTGCGACCTGGACTGCTGGCAGCGTGAGCGTCCTGAATGGTGGATGGGGTAATGGACACGACAGTGACAGGCATGAGGCGACCTTGCGGTTCTTTCTTTCATGGGATCTTCGCGGGTAGGTGCAGACGTGGAGTGCGTGAAGAGTCCCTGATCTCCATGGGCCTGTCTTCTATGCCGATCACTCGGGGTGGTTTTGAGGGTCAATGTACGCATCTCTGGAATGCATGGAACCGTGGTAGGCCCTGGAACATGTCATGTAGACTGTTGCTTCATGGATACCTCCAATTTGGGGATGTACCTCTCTCTCTTCAAATCGTGAAACTTTCGTCGTTCCACTGGTCTCACTGGTGCTTTCTGGGAATGAGGGAATGACCTCCAAACAGAGATTTCATTCCGTAGGCTCCATGCGTATATCTAGAGACCCCAAATCGACCGTAGGGTTTTCCTACATCGCTCGTTTGCACCTGCCTTGGTGCAGGTCTTTTTTCACTTAGCGGGTCGACAGTTGTGCCATCCTGTGCACTTGCTCGATGTTCGTCAACATGTCATTTTTGTTCAGGTGCCGTCGCGCCAACCTGCGTCTGCAAGCTAGCCATCCTCCATTGGAGGTCCATCAGCTTGCACGGGTCTCGAACTGCCTGGAAGATATTTTCCTTCGCTGCTAAGCTCTACCTTTTTTCTAGGTGGTTCTCCAAGTGCCGTGTGCCAGACGTGCGTCCAAGGACGCTACTAGCGGCTCCTGGTCCTAATACTAGTAAGTGCAAGGACGCTCTTGGGGACTCCTGGCCTTACTACTAGGAGCAAGAACGCTACTACGGGCTTGTGGCCTTACTACTGGGTGCAAGGACGCTACCAGGGGCTCCTGGCCTCAGTACTAGGAGCAAGGACGCTACTAGGGGCGCCTGGCATCGCTACTAGGAGCAAGGACGTTACTGGGGGCTCCTGGCCTTACTCCTAAGACGCTACTGGGGACTCCTGGCCTTACTACTAGGAGCAAGGACGCAACTAGGGACTCCTGGCCTTACTACTCGGAGCAAGGACGCTACCAGGGGCTCCTGGCCATAATCCTAGTAGGTGCAAGGACGCTACTAGGGACTCCTGGCCGTACTACTCGGAGGAAGAACTCTAGTAGGGGCTCCTGGCCTTACTGCTAGGAGCATTCTTGCTACTAGTAACAAAGAGCATCGCTACTAGGTGCAAGGACGCTACCAGGGGCTCCTGGCCTCACTAGTACAGGATTACGCTCTCATTTTGTTGCTGGATCCCAACATCACGTCTCGGAAGCGACTCCGTGAGGACGAGTTTGGTATTTGGAGACCGCCGAGCGCTGAAAACAAGCGCTTCTGCGTTGACCCATTTTCGAGAAGCCTAAGGCACTGTCGCGGAGCGGAGACCTCCAGCACCTTCGGACTAAGTCTAAGCGCATAGAGTTCAGCTCCGCTCGCCCCCGGGATTTGTCGGAGGTCCTCTCTCCAAGCGGCGACAGCAGGCGTTTGGTCTTTTGGTTGCCGGCCACATCGGCTGGCATGCGCGCAAGGATCCGAGGCGAGCGAGCCAAAAACCCGGCGCGGCCCGGACGGATCGGTGGTTCATGATTTGGTGATGGCCCGTGCTTCTGCCGCTGCGAACATGAGCTGCGTGTTCTTTTACAACGGGCAGGCACCACTCCTGATACACCCCTCATCGTACACCACGCATCAGACACCACGCATCACACACCACTCATCACACACCCTCCCGCAGACACCACGCATCAGACACCAGTCATCAAGCACCACTCATCATGCAGCACTCAGCACACAGCATTCATCATACACCACTCCGCAAACAACACTGATCAAACGCCACTCCTGCGAGACACCGTTCAGCCGACACCACGCATCGTCGAGGGAGCTCACGTTTCCGGCGCTCCAGCTCCTGTCTGTTTCCACCGAGGTGGATTTCGGTCCGAGGGCATGCGTGTCCGGTCTCCGCTATTGATTGGTTTTTACCTATCATCGTGCAGAGGGGGCCGGGGGCAGGGGGTGCCCTCGGTACACGAGTCGAGTGCAGCAGCTAGCTACTGTCACGCTGATGACGCAGGCGCAGGGACGGTGACGAGTTGCAGATTTTGTGGCGCATCCCGACCCGCATGGGACAACCTTAAAGAGCGGGGGGGGGGAAGGCAGCAGCTTGCCACTGTCACGCTGTGATGAGGCAGGCGCAGGTACGGGGACGAGATGCAGATTTTGTGGCGCACCCGTCGGCCTCCGGGAGCGGCGCGCGGTCAGAGCTAGCGGGCGCTGCCCGTGGGAACCACACGGTGGCCCGAGAGGTGACGGCGGACGGTGCGCGGACACGAGTCGAGTGCAGCAGCTAGCTACTGTCACGGTGATGATGCAGGCGCAGGGACGGGGACGAGCTGCAGATTTTTGTGGCGAATCCCGACCCCGCATGGGACAACCTTGCCGACGGACCGACCGCATTCGGTCTGAACCACACGGTGGCCGGAGAGGTGAAGGGGGCGAATGCGCGGACACGAGTCGAATGCAGCAGCTTGCCACTGTCACGCTGATGAGGCAGGCGCAGGGACGGTCACGAGATGCAGATTTTGTGGCGCCCCCCCCGTTTCGGCGCTGTATGTGTATAGTTCGTGTTCAGGAACTAACCGCAACGGGTTACGTACGGTTGCACTGAGGTGTTACTTCGCGTTGCAGTCTTTTGGTTCGTCAGGCGGGGTACCCGGTGTCCAGATGTCTCTGTTCTCGCTGTCCGAGCAGATGTGGTTGGTCGACATTCTGTCGTGGCTCCCGCTCTCCGTCGGCGTGGTCTTCGCGCTCGCTTCGTCGTCCACAGCGCGGCTGCTGCGGCCCTTGGATGCGCTCCTAGACGAGCTTACCCATGTTGCGGAGAACCACCTGGCCGCCTTGGAGGAGCACGGTGTGGTTCTCCCCATGGCTCGCCAGCCAGTGCGGCCTGTGTACGTCTTGGATTTACACTTGGCGCCACATGGCTTGCACACGTTGTGTCGCCGCTACTATGGCCTGAGCCTGGCGAACTCCGGCGACCTCGGGGGGATTCTGACGTTGGCAGGTACCAGTTTCACCCGCTGGCCTGTGGCAATGAACTGCGTCGGCCCTGCGGCGGATCCGACGCTCACCGCCGCCATGCACTGGTTGCAAAGCAGCCTCTGCATGCAGCTCTGGCTGCCGGATGTGCGAATTCCGTCCATACCGGCGGCTTGGAGCCACCTCTTTCCGTTCGGAACGGCTTTGTACAGACATTGGCCCGTCGCCGGGGCGGAGGGTGATGTGTTGGCCCTCTACCTAGTCCACGGCAACCTGGGGATAGTGCTGCTGTTTTTTGAAGCGGACTCGTCCACGGCGCATGCCTCCAACGAGGGTTCCGTGTGGGAACTCTCGGATTCAAATTCGGACAGCGAGGGGCCATGGTTGGTCGGATGAGTCCCTGCACGTTCCCATACAGCGCACGCCTGACACCTGTGCGCACCATGCCGGCCAGCAGGGTCCGGGCTCGGGGTTTGGACGTTCTGTGCACAAAGCCGGTCATCCCAGACTCAAGTCGCGCCCTGGTCGTCATCGCAAAAACCTCCCTGCGCCGCGGCCGGCCTCGGCGTGGTCAGTCTGGACCGGGGCTGGGGGATGCCGTGGACGTCTGTTTTTGATGCCCGTCGCATGTTTTGTTCTGTGTGTTTGTTTCGTTGAGGCTTGCCAGACAGGGTTTGCAGCGCTGCCGAGCCAGGTATAGCAACAGTTGTGGGCCGTGAGCGTGTGGGGGTGGTGCGGCGACGCCATGCGCTGGGCGGATATGGTGGACAGCGACGAGGACCTGGCTGCTGACCCCGCGGCGGCCCCGGTGGGCCTGGTGGCGCCTAGTCCTGTTCGCTGCGCTGTGGCCTTTCCGTTTCACGTGGTGCTACGTGCTTATATTTGTGGTCTGGTCGATGCACGGGTCAGCCGCTCAGCTATGGGCTCCCTGCAGCAACTGCTGCGAGGGGATCCGCGCACGTCGCCTTGGCTTTGTGGGTCCTACTACCACGACCTGGTGTTTGGCATCGAGCTGGCTGCAGAGGCCAAGTTGCGGCGCGCGTGCGCCTACTTGCTGGCCTCCCAGTGCTGCTTACTGTCGCCTGCCGCTTTGCAGCTGTGGTGGCATCTGCTTGAGGTCGAGTGCTGTGTGGATTTCCCATGTTTGACGCTTTGGATGGTGCTCTTCCCAGGTCGCGCGCCGCCAGCGGCGCGTCCTGCGTGAGGCTTCGCCATCCAACACGCACTGTGCCCGCAAGGGTGCGGTTTTTTAATTCATCTCTCTAGACTGGCACGGCTCGCGGGTCTCACCAGCAGACTCGTCGCGCGTACTATAGAGTGCTCTCGACAGCGACCTGCTTGGAGCGCCAGCTCGGGGTGCCTCGCGTCGGCGTCTCACGGCTTCGTGCGTGCGGCTGTCGTCGTCTTTCCGTTTCTCGCGGCAGGGGTTTGCTTGAGCCTGGCTTTCTTGCTCCGCAGCCATTTCTTTCAGGAGTGAGTGCGCACGCCCCGCCGCCACGTCGGCGCCGTGGGCGGGCGATGTTTCCACGTTGTTGCGGCCGTTGGAGGTCGCGCATCTCGGTGTGTTGGCGCGCGGTCATGCCGTTGCGGCTCCTGAGCTCCGTGCAAAGCACGTGGTGCAGGTCCTTCGCGACCTCTTCCATTTCGCCTGCACCGAACAGGTCGTGGCGAGTGTCTACGAGAAGGTGCTCCGGGAGGCGCCGGAATTGCTAGGTGGAGCGCCTTTGCAACTGCATGGTGTCGCGCCGGAGGCCACGCTCATCCAACCTGTCACCACGCGCTGCGTGGACTGCGGGTGCGCCTTGGACGTGCAACCCGCGCACGTCGCGCTGGCTTTCCTGCTGCATATGGGGTGGAAAGAGGTCGCCTGGCGGCGAGCCACATGCAGGTCTTGCCATGCATGGTACAGCAACGTGTGGTGCAGTCGTCCCGGTGCACGTGCTTCCTGTTTTTGTGTGGCTGCGCCGGAGGATGTAGACTTCCTGCAGATTGTGGCTTGTCCGCGCAAGAACGGCAAAGCCTTCATCGAGGTCAGGGCTCTGTGGTTGATGCGCGCAGCCCTGCTGCGCGTGCGCGCTCCTTTCAGCGGCTTTGTGGAGATGCTAGCTGACTTGCATGCGCTTCCGGCTGATCGCAAGCATGACTGTCTTCGTTTTGAGCAACATTGGCTGTTGTTGGAGGCATTGACGTTGCTGTGGCACCGAGCGCCCCATGTTTTGCGTTCCGTGGCATGGCCGCTGGATGGGCAGCATCAGACTCAGGCATGGCAAGGGATTTTGGAGCGAATCCTGCCCTTGCTGAGCGGCTTGGTGCGAGACATTCATTTCCGGGAGCATGTCTGCCACCTGTGCGCCGTGCCTGCAGTCACTCTGGATGCCAAGTACGGGATGACGTGTTCCTTGTGTAACCACCGGGAGGGCAGAGTGGTGGAATACCCGGCCATCAACTGCTCCGTCATGTTTGGCTGTCAGCGTGGACCTGCTCCCGGGCATTTGCGGCTGGGACTGTACCAGCCATGGGCAAGTTGTCCTTGTTCGGGCATTGCGGGTTTTCTTTATTTTTCCACCCTGAGCACGATCTTTCGTCCTCGTCGTCGTCGTCGTCCTCGTCGGTCGCAGGTACTGTCGCATGCATGCAGCGGACGGAGCACTGGCTGCTGCTGCGGACCAGCGCATTCTCCGACATCGCGACGTGGACGGAGTGCGCTCCTACAAGGTGGTTGGCTCGTCGGAGTGGTGCTTGGGTTCCGCTCTGTCCACTGCCGCCATCCAGGCCTACGAGCAGCGGTTGGCGGAGCAACACGATCGTCGCAAAAGACGCCGACGTGTTGCGGCTTCGTCGGCCCACCTGCCGGCGGAACCGGAGGTGCCTGGCGATGCGGCTTTCCACGATGCTGTGGAACCGGAGCTTCGGTCGCAGGCCGATGATGTCAATCCATGTGGCATCGACAAGGTTGTGCTGCTGCCCCGCCGGTCTTATGGAGGCTTGCTGGTGGCGATGCTCCCTTGCGGCAGGGTTTGCTCCGCGGTGCCTTTGGCGCACGCGGAGTCACTGACTCAAGTCTATGCGTTGCTCTCTTCGCTGACGCCGGAGGATGGCGATGCACGGCCACCGCTCCAGTATGTGATTTACGACAACGCGTGTGCCCTGGCTCGTTTTGCGCGGCACCCGCTCCGGAAGGAGCGGACGCCCACAGCGGCCGCATTGGCTGCTTTGACTTACGTCCTTGACGGTTTTCATGCACAGAATCACACCAGCTGCCTGGACGAGAGCCATCCTCTGTACACGCCGGAGGTGCAGCGCGCACAGCACGCTGCGCTGCAGGGACTGAACACGCAGACGGCTGAGCAATTCTTCTCATGGTTGGATCCGTTTGTACGTTCGGCCAGCTGCATGTCTCCGCCCGTCTTTCGGGTGTTTGTACAGATCCTAATTCATTTGTTTAACACGTCTATTTGCACGTCACCGGAGCCGCGCGTGCGCGCACGCCGCCCGCGTGCGTCGATGGCCGCGGCCGGAACGCCTTCGCGACCAGATGTCGCCTCCGTTGTGCCCGAAGCGGTGCAGCAACTTAATTCGCCCGTGTCGCCTGTGCGGTTGCGCCGCAACCCGCGCGGTGTCGGGATCTGGGGAGCCGGGAAATACCACTGGCAGCGTCCTTCCGACGCGGATAGGCCGCCTTGTAAGCTAGTCTGGTTTGAGACCCTCTCTGAATCGTTGGAAACGACGACCGCGTGCATTCGCTGGGTGACACCCTGTGGGTGGATTTTGCTCCTGCACGGCTGTAGCTACGAACTTTGCCGGGTGTGCGCTCGGGCGATGCAAGCGGAGGGTCTCTTGTGATTCCTTTTGTCACGCTGCGATCAGCTACCTTGGCATGGCTGGGGCGGGGGGTCACAAGCATCCCTCGGCTCCGTCGGCGCTGCAAGAAATGCCCGGACGAACGTTCTTGCGACACGCTTCGCCTTTGGTGTGTGGGTGTGTTGTCGGGTTTGGCGGACGCGGCCTGCGCCGGTGCTTGCGCATGTCTTTCTGAGAGTGGTGCTCCAGTCAGCTTCCGGGCCTTCATCGGAGTCTCGCCGCCTCGTGCTCATGGCTAAGCCTCGTGACGCACGCCTGCCCACGGGCGAGGAGGTTGACGAGTTTTTCCAGAAACTGGAAGCCGAAGCTGTCTTCCCTGCCGGGGCGCTGGAGCAGCTGGCGCCGCCGGAGCTGGTCTCGCTCTGGAAGGATATCGCGGCTACGCAGACCGTAGCGTGGCCCTGGGTGATGCTCTGCGGGTTGGCTCTAGCCAGTTTTCTCACGCCGAATGCTCGGCTGCATCCTTTGGCTAGTTTCACGGTCTTCTCTCTGACGTGGTCCTTCTTTCTACACCCGGGCAGCTGTCACACCTCCAACCTGCTTCGTCTCTACCAAAACGTTTTCCATGGCCTCGAGAAGAAGGTCAACAGGTTTCGCGCTGCAGAATGTGCGCGTCTGCGCCAGGCAGCGCAACCGGGGGCAGACGCACAGGCGCTCCTCAAAGAGCGGTTGTCAAAGCTGCAGCCGCTCGCACTGCGCCTTGGCACGGGGTCTTTGGAGGGCATCGGGCTTCGTATGAGCCAGTTCCCTGACTGGACCGCGGCCTCCGGATTTCTGGTCGAGGGGCTGCAATTTGTACAGTGGCTGCAGGCGGAATTTGGCTTGAACCGAGCCATTGCGACACAGTTGTGGGAACGCATGTCCTGGCAACGAGATGTCGTGAATCAAGGCCGGTCGTTCGACATGACCTTTCCGTTTCTTGCCGTCTGCGGTGCGCTGCATCTGGAGGACGTGTGGCCGATGTTTGCGCAACCGGACCCGCTGGGGTTGCGGGGGCGCCTTTGTTTTTTTTACACTCGGCCGGCGCTGAAGCGCGCTCGTGGGATCGAGGATGCGAACCAGCGCTTGCGGAACCATCGTGGTTCCAACAATTTGGAGCAAAGCCTTGTGGACCGCTTCTGGCGCATTTACCAGGCACATGCCCAAGAGCATCGGTCCGCGGCTGCGTTCAGCTGGCACTTGGAGTACCCGTTCCTCAACTATTCCTTCAGTGACGAGGACGAGGCAGCTGCCACGTTCGCGCGGGCCTTTGATGCGCACGTGCAGCTCCAGGCTGGGAAGCGCGCGCCTGCACGTTTGGCTTTCACGTTCTTATGTGGACTGTGGCCGCACGCCTGCGTCGGGTCACCGCGGCGAGTTCGCGATCGGGATCGCGCGCGTCGAATGCGGTTTTGGGGCTGTTTTTTCTTGTTCGTGTTGCTGATTTTTTGGTAGGGTTGCACGCCCTTCTTACTGCATGGCCGCTGACGCCCGGATTGCGCAGGAGGAAACGTTCCTGGTCCAGCACGAGCTCAGCAAGCGCCATGGAAAGCTCAAAGGCAAGCACCTGCGCCACGCGTTGAATTGGCACAATGTGCTATGCAGCTTTCTCCAACGTGATCCACAAGCGTGGCCGACCACGGTCTCCGTTTCAGCGCTCCGCGCCGCGGAGCTGCTGGGCGACTACTGTGAACTTGTGGCGGAGGCGACGTCCAAGTTTGCGGCTGAGCTTGGCAGGAAGGACGGAGCCGGCAAGGATGAGAAGGCTGAGCGCAGGGAAAAGGATGCTGTGCGTACCCATGGGGACCAGATTGTCGCAATGCGGCGCATGGACGCCGAGGACTTCATCAATGCGGTGCCTCCTGCCCATCGCTCCAAGCTCCTTCCCTTTGCGGCCATCTTGCTCCAAATGCACACTGTCTGGTTGGATTCCACAGCCCTGCGCTCCCACTACTTTGCGCGGGACAGCTTCCCGGGTGCGTCTGCCGAGAGCAAGCTGCAGTTCGTTTGGCGAGCAGTGATGCTCCTGGAGCGGCTGTCTGTTGGCCTTTGTGGACTCACTACGAATCCCTACGGGCCGAAACGGCTTCTGGCAGTGAAGCGCCCGGTGCCCACTGAGGACGGCCTGGCACGACGGACCTTTCTGGATGTTTTGCGTGTCTTGGGCGTCGACCTTGCGGCGCACCATGGGCTGGGCCTTGCTGAGACCTTGGCCCAGCGGCCTGCCAACGCGCCGCTCTTGGAGGACACTGCGCCGGACCTGGCAGCGGCTTCGTCGCTGCTCTCGTCGGTCGCAGCGTGGGCCGCTCCGGTCGAGTGAGTGTCTTTGTGCAGTGCTTTCTCGAATTCGTTGCATGGCCTGGTATCGCTGCTTTAGGTGCGGGTGGATCCTGGTGCTCGTGCACAAAGCCGGGCACTGGGATCCACTGCTGCTGGATCTGCAGACGCTGCTCTAGGTGCGGGTGGATCCTGGTGCTCGTGCACAAAGCCGGGCACTGGGATCCACTGCTGCTGGATCTGCAAACAAAAACCGGCCTGCAGGCTTTTCCCGCCTGGCGAGGTAATTTTTTGTGTGGAATGGTCTTTTCTTGCCAGTCTCTTTCGTGCTTCTGCCTGTTTTCCGGGCCTTCTTGGCCTGACCTCCAGCTGTGAAACGGTTGTCGTCCGGTGTGCTGGGCGAAGACCAGCTGGGTCATGATTATTTTTCATACCGCAGACTTGTTCTTAGGGGCCTGGAAGCGCGCGGGATGCTCTGCTGCGTGGCCTTTCCTAACTAATCTTGGTGTGCTACGAGGTTCTGAAAGGATCCTGTGCTACGAGGACTTGAAAGAAGCATCCTGTGCAACGACGACATTCTAATAGTCGTGGGCCCCCCCTCCAACTGGGATAAGTAGTAGTAGTCGTAGCCACCCCCCCCAACCAGCCCTGTGGTACGAGGCCCTTGAGACTCCTGTCCTACCAGGACCTCAAAGCCAGATCCTGTGGGAAGCTGTGCCACTCGTGGCCACCCCCGCCCGTCCCTGTGCTACGAGGGCCTCCTGTCCAAGCAGGCTCGTGCGCTACGAGGAGCTGACAGAAGGCTCCTGTGCTACGAGGTCCTTGAAGAAGGATTTTGTGCTACGAGGATCTTGAAGACGGATCCTGTGCTACGAGGACTTGAAAGAAGGCCATACAGAAGCATCCTGTGGTACGAGAACGTAGTAGTCGTTTCTCCCCCCCTTGCCCTTCGAAGTGTGAAGGTAGTAGTAGTCGTGCCCACTCCCCCTTTCCCTGTGCTACCAGGGGTCTTCAAGAAGGATCCTGTGCTACGAGCCTTGAAAGAAGGATGCTGTGCTGCGAGGGCTTTCCTCACAAATCTTGTTGTGCTACGAGGTGCTGAAAGGATCCTGTGCTACGAGGACTTGAAAGAAGCATCCTGTGCAAGGACGAACTAGTAGTAGTCGTGGGCCCCCCCCCCCCCTCGAATTGGGAAAAGGAGGAGGAGGGGGGGGCCCCCCCCCCCCCCCTCCCGGCCCTGTGCTACGAGGCCCTTGACGAGGCTCCTGTCCTACCAGGACCTCAAAGCAGGATCCTGTGGGAAGTTGTAGTACTTGTGGCCACCCCCCGCCGTCCCTGTGCTACGAGGGCCTCCAAGCAGGCTCCTGCGCTACGAGGAGCTGAAAGAAGGCTCCTGTGCTACGAGGTCCTTGAAGAAGGATTCTGTGCTACGAGGATCTTGAAGACGGATCCTGTGCTACGAGGACTTCAAAGAAGGATTCAGTGCTGCGAGAGCCTTTAGGAAGGATCCTGTGCTACGAAGGCTATAAAAGAAGCATCCTGTCTTACGAGAAACTAGTCGTGGTCGTTCCCCCCCCCCCCCCCCCCCCCCCGGAGTGGGAAAATAGTAGTAGTCGCGCCCCCCCCCCTGCCGGTGCTACGAGACCTCAAAGAAGGATCCTAGGCTACGAAACCCTGCAGAAGGATCTTGTGCTACGAGGGCCACAAGGACGCGTCCTGTGCTACGAAGAAGTAGTAGTAGTCGTGCCCCCCCCTGAAAAGTAGAGCCTACCTGTACAGGGTTCCACTCCAACAGCTGATATAGTGTGTCCATGCTTGACTGGCTCAAGGCTCAAAGAGCAAGAGGATAAGACTCTGCGCATAAAAGACACTAGCGGTCTGCACCTCTACCGTGTACGCCCTAGTCACTCTTTCAGTGGTAGCGGAGCAGTGATCCTGGAAGACCCAGGTGAGCTCCTTTCCTAGGCATAGACTTGCTAGTGGGCAAACGGCCATGGATTGGATTGACGACTGGGAAGAGCCTGATGCGGATGTGGCTTATGAGCCAGCAGCCTACGTGAATAGGCATGTGAGAAGAGAACCAGCAGCAATAGCAATGACAACACAGGTCACTACAAAGGTGCCCCCATCTTATGATGGAAAGACTTCATGGTTTTCCTATGAGGATGCCATAGACGATTGGTGTGATATCACCGAGCTGGAAGATGAGAAAAGAGGACCAGCATTGAGAAACAGATTAGAAGGAGAAGCAGCTGTATACAAGCGTGTTTTAGACAGAGATGCATTGAAGGCAAATGATCCACCAGGAGCCGGCGTAGAATATTTCAAACGAGTACTACGACCATATTTCGTGAAAGGATCAACCAATGTATTCCTGTATAGGTTCATGCAATTCGTGCGCTTCAATCGAGGATCAGCTGACATGATGAAATGGATGACAAGATTCCAGATTTTACTCCAAAGGCTTATGAGCAGTTGGATGGACATGTTAGAACCAGTCACTCAAGCACACCCACAAGTCCTAGCACAGATGCAGGCAGATGCAGCGTTGACTGGAGTAGCGCCAACGGCAGAAAGGATTCAGGAAATCATGCAGACCATCAATGGCAATATGAGGACTTTTCATCAGAACGAATTTCCTCTAGGAGAAAATCTGATTGCCTTACTCATGCTGTCACTTGCAGATTTGTCTCAGGACCAGCGAAACACTTTGACTTCCTTGATGACTCATCGTGGCAGGGTCCTGCAGCAATATACTACAACAGAGTTGAGGACAGTGTTCATCGAGATGTTCTGCGCGACAAAGACTTCAGTAGATAATCCTTTGATGCAGCCGACAGGTGCTGGAGGTAGAAGATCATTTCTCGTACTAGACGAAGGAGAACTCGATGGTACATGTGGCTATTGGGCCGAAGATGAAGAAGATGGAACAGAAGGATTTTTAGATGCCCTGGACGATGTCTTTTGGGTATATGATGATCAAAACTTCTCGTGGTTCCAAAGGAGATTCCAAGGAAGAAGAGCCAGAAAAGGCAAAGGAAAAGGAAGAAGAAAAGGAAAAGGTAAAGGAAGATCAGGCCGCAGATTCTTCAGACCTCGTGGAAAAGGAAAAGGAAAGAGACGAGGTAAAGGCCATTTTGCTGATGAGCAACAGACAACTTTTCCAGATGAATACTTTGAAGAGAATCCTTATGAGGACGCTTGGGAGTCAAACCAAGTAGCATATGATGCCATCCTTGCCGAAGATATGAATGACTATCTTCAAGGAGAATATGATGATGCCAATGACTTTTGGCAACAGCTTGAAGAAGCATGGTTTTCCCACAAGGGAAAAGGAAAAGGCAAGAGAAAAGGCAAGAAAGGAAAAGGAAAAGATAAAGGAGATGGCAAACAAGATGCAAACTATGCAAATCAACAACAGTCACGTTCTTTACCTGCACCTTCAAGATCTTCACAAGCATCAGGAGGTCAACAAGGTTTCTTTGCACATTGTGTGACAGCAGCAGCTGAAGTCCATGACAGTGAGGTGGACTTGCTGTCAGGCATGATGACCTCATGTCAAGATGAAGCTGACTGTGCGGTCAACAATGGTGAGACGATCTTCAATGGCATGAGTGCCCCTGTGAGGTACTCTTTGTCAAAGGAGATGCTCACAAAGGCTCCTGATGGCTTTGCGCTTATGAGCGCTGAGGAAGAAGTGAAGGAGATGCAGGCCATTTCATTTTTGACTGAGAATCGCTTCCCGCCGACTATTGCAATCCTGGACATTGGATGCACTAGAGCTATGGGATCAAGGCGAGCAGTCGACCATTTTTGCAACTATGTCGACAATCACCCAGATTGTGGATTATGGTATTCTTTTGAGTCTACCAAGAGCAAGTTTTACTTTGCCAATTCCCAGAAGGCTACTTGCTCGCAGAAACTGGTGATTTACATGTATGATCGCGCATGGACGATCCACCATACAGAGTTCGACATAGTGGAAGAAGGAGAAGTCCCTTTGCTTATGAGCTTGCCACAGATGAGGAACTTAGGCTTTGAACTCAGGCTGACACCTCAACATGCTTATCTGACATCGGTGCCTCTTGGTATCAAATATTTGGAGTTGAAGGTTGCAGCCAGTACTCATCTTGTCTTGGACTTCCAAGATATTGCATGGTATCTGTCTGACGTGAATTTGCAGACTCGGCGCGAGAAGAGTTTTTACTCTCACTTCACTCACTATGAATATGGTCATATCTCTGTTGACCTCAATAGTGATGAAGATGTAGCTGAACATGCATATCCTGTGGTTGACTACTGGGAAGTAGATGTTCACAAGAGAGAACTGATACGTCGCCACAAGGATTATAGAAAGATTCTTTTTCCAGCAACTAAGTCCTGTCCTGTAGACACTGACTTACTGGAAGACTTGCAACTGACAATCATCAAGAAGAAGAAAGGAGGAGAAGAAATCAAGAAGCTAGATGATTGGCGCAAGGCAAAATGGAAGGACCTACAAATTGGCTATGAATGGCGTGGTAGAACAATTTTTAAGTTCAAACCAGATGCCAAAATTCCAGATCTAAAGATCAGGAAGGCTGGCATTGAGCACCGTGGCATTGGTGATCCCGATGCAGTGGTGCGCTCCTCCTCAGAGAAGGTTCCCATTGCAAAGGACAGGGAACCAGGCTTCTCATCAGAGAAGGAAGGTGCGCCATCCAGTGCCGCGGAAAAGCCCGCGCCGCCAAAGTTTCGGTATACTTCCAAGGGTTTTGATCCATTTTGGAAAGGACACAAGTCGAAACCATCTGAGCCTCAGAATGATTTAAAGGGTGATGATCTTGAGGAGTATGCTCCCTCAGAACCACCTGAGAGGCCAGAAGGTGAACTTGTAAAAATTCCTAAAGCATCAAAAGGACCATCAAGTGATAAACATGAACCACTTGAACCAGGTGATGGCGCTCTTGAGCCTAGGCGGATTTCAATCCCATTACCTGGTAGTGAAGTTGTTGCAATGACACCGGCATATAGGAAGATGTTACAGAGACTGGAGGACAAGGT